TAAAACGAACCCATATTTACACTGAGGTATAGGGTTAGGTTCCACATAAGTGAAAAATACGCAAATAATTTTGTTTATTAATACAATATAACACAAAGTACAAATAAATTTAATTTTTAAAATGTATTTTATCATAAAATAAAGTTAAATGTTTTTATTAAAAATTTTAGTTTCGGATCTCTTACATTTTTCGGAAAAAGTATCCATCTTTAATTGTATCTTTAATTGTTTACATTTTTGTTTTCTTTCATTGAGAATTTCGGAATATGGTCGAATGGATGCGACGATGCCCCTTTTTACATTCGCACTTCACTCCCAATCATTGTCTAACTCACAAAGTTCAACTGTCAAACTTTCCATAGTTGAAAGGATACGTTAACCCGACGTAGAGCTACAGATGAGCGGAGACACTGATTGGTCGACCACCGGTCGCCATAGCGCATATGTAAGGTCAGTTTGAGCAGGAAAATTAAGGAGAGATAGATATCGTCTGGCCAACGAGAAGTAGATTTGTCTCACTAATGATAGTTTGTGATCGCCAGAAGTGCTACTGCATCGTAAGGTGTTTTCCTGAACAAACTGATACGAGATAAATTCAATGGCACTATGAATTCGGATGCCATTTATTGTACTATTAAGTTTGATAACTTGACTTGTGGATACCTAAACGTTTAGTATTTTAATATTAATTTAATGCATCTGACATTAACTCCAAGTTAGATCTAGACATCTATAGCATCTAACATCGCAGCTCGGTAAATACGTCAATACTGAAATGAAAATCAGTCTGGCATAGGGAAAATCGGGGAATTACACAGCAAAATTGCGAATTGTGCAGCGGCGTTATTGTGAATCGGCGTAAATTGAACCGGCGTAAACCAAGGGCTACCTGTACTCTAATTTTTATCGTCAATTAAAATTTTATTTATCTATCTAATTTAAAGAAATTTTAGCAATAATTAATAATAAATAATTTATTCATTAAAAATAATATAAAAATATTCTATTAAATCAATTAAAACTTAATTAAAATATTAAAGATAATTTAGATAAAATGACAAAGAATAATAAAAAATTTAGATATAAAAAAATATATATTACTTTTTTCCCCTCTTCTCCTCTTGGTCCTTTTGGTCCTCTAAGTCCAGGAAGACCCTAACAAATACATGTAAATAGTTTCATTATCAATTTTTTAGCTTTAGCATATTTTTCATCATCTAAATGTAAACATAATATTTTAAATATTCTAACTAAAATAAATACTTAACCAAAACAATGTTAAATAATTCCAATATACAATATGTCTACTAGAGGATTTATTTTTACTTTTTATTTCAAGACAGAGTACAAAAATGTTTCTCTGGTTTTTATGTATATTGCACAGATTACTCCAAAAATAGTAAAAGATAAAGAAACATAACTATAAAATTGGAAAAAGTTTTTGTTTGGATTGAACATAATGAAACCCTTAAATTTAATGGTTCTTTGCTAATTTTAAGATATTTCTGTATATTATCTAAATGAGAAATGTATTTAAAGAAAATATTAAAATAAAGTTCAATTGATAATCCATCATCTTCATTTAAAAGACAACAAAACAATAATAGCGATAATACATGCACAAAATAAGATAGTGTTCACTGAAGAATCACTTTAAAATAATTCAAAATACAATACAAAAATTTTCCTTTAAAACACAAAAACAGAGAACATTTTAAATATTGATACTATATTTTATTAAAATATAATTTAAATTTAACAGTGTTAATATAAGCATTTCAAAAAGTCTTAAAAATTAAAATTATAAATATAAATTACTATATTAAAAAATTGAAAATTACTTGAGGTCCAGTTTCTCCAGGAGGTCCAGGAATTCCAACATTACCTTGATCACCCTGAAATACAAAGATCAGTTAATATGTAAAGCAATATTGTTCATTGAGCAAATACACTTTATATAATTTCATATTATAATTTGTTTAATACAAATCTACTTGTTTGTTGTATAATTAATATTTATCCACTTACAGAATATAAATAATGAAACAAAATATATTTATAAGCTTATTATTTTTTAATAATTTTTTAATTTCTATTCAAATAATAAACATTTAATTAATAATAATATATTAACATATAATTTGATGGATCAAATTACTTTCATATATGATTCATATCCTGTTTACATTGTAATTGTATAAACAAAAGAAAATTCAAACACTCAAATTAGCAATGCAAAATTTGAAATAAGAATTTTGATTTGTTATAATATGGCAATGTTATATGTGAGAACCCAGACTTCGACAAAAAAAATTTAGCATAATTTCATCATCTATATTTTGATTATATTTATATCGTCAACTACAACCTGAGAACTTCTCCATTTGCATGTTCTCAGCAGCAAAAGTGACGCTTTCCTGTGATCCTTTGAGCTCCTGGATGTCAGCTACCATTTTAATATCAGGACTGATGACCCAATGACGTAGTTGTTGCCCATTCCTCCCCAATGCAACAAGTCGTCACCCAGTCTTATAACGTAAGCCATCGCCAATTCTTTGACTGATACCATTAACTATGTTCCTCCAAAGCAGATATATGATCAACTCTGACCAGGAACATTATCTAGAACTCTTCTAATGTGCCAACTTCCTTATTTATTTAACCACTCTAAGGGACAGGCCGAATCCTCTTTTGCATCAGGTCTACAAATGGATTCCTCAAACTACAGGTATTTATTTCCACACGAATCTCATGTGAACTGTCTCTCTCTCTCTCTCGTGTGATCACGTACATTATATAGATCCATTATATTTAATGTTTTTTATCATGTACGCTTTTGCTTTGAAATTAAATGGTTATTAGTTGTTAACCTGGCATCCAATCGATTCATTTCTGGCACGCCATCTCTCTGACCTCCTCCACGCGTCTCACCATCTCTCAGATCACCTTCATCCCACATCCAATCGTCTGGGCACACGACTGTTTACATGATCTTGCAACAACAATATGAACACTAAATAAAAACAACCCTAGTTGCTGTGCAGTGGCTTCTGACATAGTCATTGCTGAAGCGATGTCAACTCTTCAATCAAATGGTGCTGAAGCATAGGGGGTGCTTTGCGCATTATCACATTATAATTAAAATTATGAAGTCTTTGAAATAAACATAAACATAATTAAATGTTCTTATTTAAAAACAGCAAAATATAATATATTTAAAAATATTAATATAATTTTTAAATATAATATATTTAAAAATTATCATACCTTTGGACCTGGCAAACCTCGAGCACCTTTAGGACCAGAAGCACCAGGAAGACCCTTTTAATATAATAAAAATTCAAATTAATTATTTTTTTGTATTAAACAATGTGAATAAATTAGAATATTCAAAAAGAACGACTTAAAAAAGTTAATAAATAACACATTTCATTATAAATATACATTTAAATTTGCCTAATATGAAATGTCAACTCTTGTTTTCTATTCAATTTGGTTTGACTGTGATATCAACATATGAATATGAATAATGCAACCATTTTTCTATATTGTAGAATATTCTGATAATATCTAGGTACAAGAACATACAGGAATTGTGGCAATAATTCAATTTGTAGCAGTTTAAATTTAATTTACATTTGATAATTATTAAAACAAAATACAAATTATTTTAAAAATTTTTTGCATTAACTTTAAAACATATGAGTTAGGAATTTTTTTTGGAAAACAAGAGAGCTTAAAAACTAAGATATTTTTATTTACTCAACAACAAGCATTTAAAATTGATATTTATTAAATTAAATTCATATGTAAAAGTAAAACATATTGTTGCATTGTGAATAAACTGTATAAACTTACCTGTGGTCCAGGAAATCCTTGCTGACCAAGAGGGCCAGGTGGACCCCTGTCACCTTGTATTCCAGGTCCACCAGGAGGTCCATCTGGACCAGGAGGTCCTGTTTCACCCTAAATATAACATTAATAATATTTTAGATAAATAAAAGATAAAAAATAAGAACTTCATATTTGAGTTTTAAAGTACTGACTTTTTCTCCTGCTTCCCCAGGTGGTCCTGCAGGTCCTACAATGCCTTGAGGTCCTTGTTCTCCAGGTCTCCCAACAGGACCTTCTGGACCTGGTGATCCATGATCTCCTCTATCACCTTTATGTCCAGGTGGTCCTGGTTCTCCTCTTGCACCTTGAGCACCCTAAGAAAAATATATTTTTTTTTGAACATTAATATCAATTAAAAATATAGATTATATAAATAATATAGATTATATAAAGAATCTGATATCAAACAAATTAAAATCAACAGAATGAAATGGGCTTGACATAGCTAATGGATGGATAATAATAATCACAAGAATTTTTGTGCCTCAACATTAATAGGGAAACAATTAAGAAGGATACCAAAATTACAATGGATAAACCGCATTGATAAAGATTTTAATATGATGAAAGTAAAAAATTGGAGGATAATTGCTGACTTTAGGGTGACCTGGACAATTCTAAAGAAGGCCATGTCCCACCCTAGTCTGTCATTCAATTATTATGTTGGGTTTAGTGAGTTGTACTCAGTTGACACTGGTTACCATGTACTGTACCGGACCAGAGTCAAGTCATAGCAACCAAAACAAGAAAAAAATTAAATAAGTGTCAGTGTGAGTGTCTGTATTCAGGAATTTCCCAACAATAAGATGTGTATTCAATATTCTGTAGTGTGATGCATGTGTTTCTATTCAACTATTATGTTTCCAGGCTTTTGTGTAGTGTGTGTGTGGTCGACACCTGTAAAGGAGAGAATGATAGGCACAATAAGCACCCTATCCATCCTCCATAGATGCCTTATTTCCTGGGAAAGCTCTGTGTACTTGCTGATTTTTCAGTGCATGTGTTTTGTACATTGTAAGTATTTGAAATGATATATCTATAATGTATGTGATTTTATTGTGTTTGTCAATGAGTGTGATGTCTGGTCTGTTGTGGTAAATTGTTTTATCTGTGATTATGGCTCTGTCGTAGTACATTTTGTGCCTGATGTTTTCCAATATTTTGTGTGGAATGTATTTGTAGTATGGTTNGTCTATAATGTATGTGATTTTATTGTGTTTGTCAATGAGTGTGATGTCTGGTCTGTTGTGGTAAATTGTTTTATCTGTGATTATGGCTCTGTCGTAGTACATTTTGTGCCTGATGTTTTCCAATATTTTGTGTGGAATGTATTTGTAGTATGGTTCATGGATGTCTAATAATTTGTGTTTGTTTGCAAGCTCTTGGTGTATTATATTTGCTACATTGATTATATCTATGGCTTTATTATTATTATTGTATACACATGTCCAAAACTTAAGAATAGACAACATTTGTATATGAACAGAGAGAACTGTAGATGAATGAAGACAAATATGGCAAGAACTGTATTACTTGACATCCAACACAGGATAATACAAAATTTGTATGATTTTACAAATCAAAGCAATAATCATAGCAGTCTTTGTTGAAAAAGGTACATATAAGCAGTTGGATATAGGTGGAGAATGGATGGAAAGTGATTACCAATACCCAGGCAGAGACCTGTCAGTAAGGAACATGTCCATCTCAAACTGTGATACAGCACTCACAATATTGTGGCACTACCAAATGACTTTTTCTAGCTATCACTGCTAGTAATTGTGTTTGTCCTTAAGTTTCGGACACATACAAATAACACAGTTAAATGAAAAATTTTAGTTACTTTAAAAATAAAATTAATAACAAGAAACTTAAAAGTAATATATTATATTTAACAGATTAATTTCAAAAATTAATTAGATTAGTTATAATTTATTACACAAATCATAATTTTTAATTAGAAATTCTTTAGATAGCAAACTTTTAACTGTTAAACTTTGCTTTAACGATAAAGGTGACAACTACTGTGGAGGTAAAAATGGATTTAAAAAAAAGTACTTTTTAGAATCAAAGAAATACAGTAGAGTTTAATTTAATTATAAGAAAGAAATTAGTAAAATAGAAGTGAACATTCATTCTTTTTGGTCTTTGATGAAGACATATAATAATACTGGTAGTAATAATAGATAGTAAAACAATGTAGATATCTAAAAAAATGAATCATTTTGTGAAATTGAGTCTATTGAATATTTAATTTAATAAGTGTATATGAAAATGCAATTTATAAATGTATTTAGCAATAATAAATAAGAATTAGTGTAAACAAATGCGTTCTCATTAATTTTATAAATAGCCTACAGAGCATTGTTATAAGAATAATCAAAAAATAAGTTACTCTCTGCTATAATTACTGTTCAATAATGGATAAAAAAAATTCTCTGTTGATAGAAGCACTGGCAACAGTGTTAGCTCTCCATTGAGTATGTTTTAAACACATGGCTAATTTTGTACACTTAGAGGTCAAATATGTCACATCACTTAGAAGTGTCATCCAAAATTAAAGTGTGTAAAGATGTGTGTTTTTTTGTGAGCAAAGCTTTTTAACTATAAGAAAATTCATTGACAAATTGTGGAAATGCATGGCCAAATGCTTTGCAACAACCAATGATCATGAAACTGTGCCAAAGCAGAGCTACACTATGTACAGGGAGTTCATGTCATGAGATACAACAATCAAATCAACATAGCAGAATATTGTAAGACACTAAAATAGTAAAATCATCTGATAAAGACTGAAAGTCCCAAAAATTGTGTGAAAGAGTTGTTATACTTCTTAACAATGCTAACTCTCTCAGCAAGGACTTATAGGAATGTCTTTGAAACTTTAAATGAAAAATATGGTTCCATCCTCTGTACAGCTTTGATTTTTTCCCTATGACTTCATCTCTTTGATCTGTTCATAAAACTCTTAGGAGGACAGCAATGCTTTACAAATTGTGATGGAAGTGTTTCAAAGTGGCTATGAGAAATTGGAAAGGAGTTTTAAAAAAAGAAATAAAAAAAACTGGTGATATGAGAGAAAAGTGTCTGAATTACATTGGTGACTATATCAAAACTATTGTGGGATGTTTATTTTACAATAAAAATAAACTTTGTCTACCTCTTTTGGCATTTTATTAAGAAGAGTGTAAATTTATTTTTTGAACCATTCTCATATAATCATTCTCTTATCTCTTATTTTTAATTTTTACAAACATATAAATAAACTAATCTCAACTGTATAAATGATTAATACCAGCTTTCTGGCATTAATCAGGCATGTTCATGTCAAAATCTCTGATCTTCAAAGGATGAGAATTATATACATAATCATAAATACATAAAATCATTACATAATTAAATATATGTATATAAATACATTTAATTGTATAATTATTTTATTGATTTTTATATGATTCTTATATTTAAAAATAATCTAGTGATTTAGATTCTTATATTAATTCACTTACTTGTAAACCAATAGGACCAGAATGACCTTTAGCTCCTTTTTCTCCAGGTGGACCCTATTAAAAATAATTTAATCATTTAAAATATAACATAACATTAATGTACAGTATCTTCTTATATTTATTATAAAATGAAAAATTACTTTTATTCCATCTTGACCAATAGGTCCTTGTTCACCCTGGGCTCCAGGTGGTCCTGGTGCACCTGGTCTTCCTCTTTCCCCGGGAAATCCTCTTTCACCTCTTTCTCCATTTATTCCAGCTGGACCAGGTGGACCAGGCAATCCGGGTTCTCCATCTTTTCCTGCTTGACCAGGATTTCCAGGTATGCCTGGTAAACCCTGGTAAACAGATAAATTTATTAAAATATGTAAATATTAATATATATTTAAGCAAATGTATATAATATTTTTAAGTGTTTTTGCACAATTTATTAATTATTAATTTATACTTACTGATATTTAATAGACAATATAAATGTTCAATTAATAATCAATAGTAATTATTGATTATTAATTGCATTAATTATAACGTAGAACCTTATATGCATTAATGATAACATAGAATATTAAAACAGATAAATTGATAAATTTTTATATAAAAAGTAAACCATTATGTATTATTTGATGATAATATAAGAGTAAAAAATTTTAGCAATTTTTTAAGTTAACGATGCAAAAAAGGATAAAAATTTTACCAAGTAAATTATCTTGTTTCAGAAAATCAGTTTTTCCTCCTCTCCTAAATTCTATTACATTTTTATTTTCCTTTTTAAATTAAATACAAACTAATAAAAATCCAAGAAGTTTATGTAATACTATTTATTAACACATAAATGCTTTCAACAATTAATTTTTTGGTTATAAAAAAACAGAATAACAATTAAAGAATTTAAATTTCACACTCTTAAAAATTTGCAAATTTTCACAACACAATAATGAGTTTGGTGATTTGTAATACTTTGAAATAAATTATTTTAATAAACAAGAATATTACAAGAAACATCTAGTACTATTTTATTTAGAAAACTATTAAAATATTAATAACAACAAAATTGGCTGTTTATTTTAATGATACAACATTCAAATAGTATCCAAAATTGCAAAATTTTAATTATTATTATTATTATTTGCAGAAAATTTTAAATTTGCCAATTATTGAGCATTATAAATATCATGTGTATTAAAGCTTTCTAGTTAAAATTTGTAGTATTTCACATATAAAATCTACAAAATACAAACATTACATTAAAAATTTAATTTCTGTCAATTTTTCTCATTTGTTATGATTTGTTCTAACTTGATGCTATACTTTTTATTAATAAAATGATGATTTACAATCATCACATATAAGATTATAAATCCTTATTTTTTTGTTTAATAATTTCATTATGATTCATCAATTCCTGGTGCCACCATTTCTAATTTTTCCCTGGTTGCCATAGTCAACCTAACCCCTACTCTCTTGTTTGTCCTGTTATTCTCAATATAGACTATTCATAATAAAAATTTTGTGATGATTAATTGATACTTGATGCTGCTGTTCTTACTTTTTTTTTTTTTTGTGATAGAAAAGTACCATAACAATTTTAAGCTAAGTATTTTATATACATAGAATAGATTCAGTTAATTTTGATTCTATTTAGTATTGAAAACTCTGCAAATTCCATTAAACTCAATACTGATAAACCAATACCAAAGATGTTTGGTATTATGTTTAATGGAATTTGCACCTATGAATATATTGTTTCCTTAAAGCAAATGAAAAATATTTATTTATTTCAGAAATGTTTTCAGCTTTCCACAAGCAGTTCCAAGTAGACTGTGTTTCTTTGATTTTTGTATTCTACAGAAGAGATTTATTTTGTACATTTTTCAATATATCACATCATAATGATTTTCACCAATTTAATTCTGACTGTATTAATCAGGTATCCATTTCAATTCCTATTTCCATTGCTGTTTTCTAGAAAGTAAAGGTGCAGTTCCAGTACACATAAATAATGATGCATTGTTATTTATTAGTGTCTGCTGAATCTATACCCATACTTATTAGAAAACAGCAAAGAAAATAGAAACCAAAATGGATAACTGATTAATACAGTCAGTATTAAATAAATAATATTCTAATTAGCTGACTAAATTAGAAGAAAAAGAATAATACAGTAGAACCTCGATTATCTGGACTAATTGGGAATGAAGGTAGTCCAGATAAGGAAAAATCCGGATAATCGAAACAAATACTTTAATTTGTCTTTTAATGATAATATAACACGTTTTCTTTTCGATGACATATTGGTAATATTAAAAGTAAATACTGTATTTAAATCGTGATCAAATTTTCAAGAAACAAACGTTCGTATTGAATTTGGATTACTACTGACCAATGCTAACAGACTACCTATTATTTAAAAGGCCCTCTGGTGGCACAAGAAAACGGATTCTATAAAATAAAAAGCAGTTGAAACTGCATTTTTATGAATAAAAATTTGACAAACTATTTATCGTTTTATGATGAGTAAAATTTTTTCATCACGTTCGTGGCTTTTAAGTAATGCATAAACCTTCAAGGCGCGAGGCCCTTCAGACCGCGAGGCATAGGCGGTGGCCCATGTTGTCAATGCCTTACGCCGCCCTTGGTCATAGAAATGATGTAATTTGAATATAAATTATTTATAAATACGTATGTCAAGTTATATTTTTATTACTATGTAAAATATATTTAAGAGTTTACAACCACTGTGCTGGGTGAGACGTTGTTGAAACAAAAACAGTTATGCATTCCATCACGTACATAAACAGTGTTGTAATTCACCAAGTGCAAATCAGCAAATTCGTAAAATTTTTGTTTATTTTGAACAATCCGGACAATCGAAAATCCAAATAATGGAGGTCTGGACAATGAAGGTTCTACTGTAGTTCTTTTTTGAATGTTTTTTTTTTTTATTCATAACAATTTTATTGACAGTTCTTTTATTTACAGAAAAATTACTGACAAATTTATAACACATTAATATTTGCAGATAAAATCATTGGCACATTAGCATCAGTATTTATAATGCAAATATCAAGGACATTACAACTGGTCAAAATATGAAAACCTATACAAATTAATTTTTCGTAATTCTGACACACTAACTGTTTAACTTATAACTGAGTGTATGTTGAAGTAATGTCTTTATAGTATAGATATCTTTAAATGTTTGTGAATGTTTAACACAAATATGTTTTTTGACAAAAGAAATCCAATCATTTGTTTCACTTTTATACATACATTCTTGTATACAGTTTTTTGTGATTAATTAATTACTTAATAAAAATAATTAAATATGATATAATGTCTTACTTGAAATCCTCTTGCTCCCTGAGGACCAGGAGGACCCCTCTCTCCTGGTTCTCCAGTAGGCCCAGATGGCCCTGCTGGACCAGGAGATCCTTCTTTTCCTGAATCTCCTCTTGGTCCTGGTGGACCAGGCTGTCCTGGTAAACCATCTTGTCCTGCTTCACCCTGTTAACATGCCAATAATTATTAAATATTGAAAGCTACAAATATGTAGTAAATTGAAAATATTAAAATTTTAATAAAAACATTAATATTTATTTTTACTTAAAATAGTTTCTGAAAATTCAATTATTATTCAGCATTTATTAGTTTATTTATTTATTATATTTATAATAGGAAGTGTCAAAAGACAACAGATATCTTCCATTACATTAACAGAGAAACCCATAACAAACAAATATAAAAGAAAGATAAAATAAATAAAATACAATAAGTGTAAAATACTAAAAATTTAAAAAAACAACAGATCAAAATGGAATGCAGATACAAAAAATTAAAAGTTATGAAGAATATGTTTATTAATTAATACATTACATAATATTATAAAATATATGAATACCTAACATTAACATATTAATATTAAATAAATTATTTACTTGATCTCCTTTTCCTCCTGGTAATCCTATCATTCCAGGTACACCTTGAATTCCCTAAACACAAATTGTAATAATTAGCTTATATATTGAATTATCAAAACTTTAAAAAAAAATTAAATATATAATATTCATTACCTGTGGGCCTTGTTCACCAGGTTTACCATCTGCTCCTGGAGGACCCTGTAATTTGATTATTTGAAAAAAATCACAAAATAAATTATTTAATTAATTATTATATATATAGTAAATAACTTACTCTATCTCCAGGTGCTCCATCTTTTCCAGGAATTCCAGGACGACCTGGCAAGCCCTTAAATAAATTAAATTATGTAAATATTTCAATTATTTTTCTTAATTTAAAAATTATTCAATACATTGTTATCAATCAATCAATCTTTATTAGCAAAAAAGGAAAGTATCCCTATTGCAGGGAGAAATTACATATATCTAGAAGTACAAAACTTTTAAATTTATTCATTTGTAATATTATTATTCTATTGTTTGCAAATTATTTACTTTATTCAAAAATCTTTATTAAAATAAATGTGCTAAACACCTTACAACAAAACAAGAGTTCACAGATTCTCCTCAAACAGCCCCTTTAAATCTTATCCACATTATAGTTTTTTATTACACATTTTAAGTTTTTCATTTAGATTACCTTTGCAATACCATAATTTTAACAAAGTAGTTGTACAATTTATACATATCATTTTTCTCAAGCTTATTTATAATATTTCTAAAATCAAAATACATTGAAACATTTGCAACATGCAACATAAATTACACATGTCCATAAGTCCTTGACATTCCCACAGCAAATGAAACATTAAAAGTTCTTAGATTTACACCAATGATATTCACCACCTGAGAAGTTTATATATGCATTTCTGATATATAATGAGTATTTATTAAGTCACAGTTGAATTACTAGTCTTTTCATGTTGCTATTCAGTGATTTCATTATGTATGGTTGAAATGATGGTATGATTTAATATTTTCAAATACCAAAGGTGGTAATTACATTGACATATTGTTGATATAATTGATGCTTTATCTTATCTGATTATTTAATTTATATTCTTCACTTTAGAAGATAAGAAATAATTAAATTTATCTAATAAAATTAAAAGAAAGTCATATGCATGCATATGTGAATAACTATGAATTCATCAAAAAAAAAAAAGAACAATACTAAAATTATTACAAAACTATTATTATTTGGTGGAATCATTATTTTTCTTCATATAACAAATTGATATAAAAACTTGTGCCACAGCTCAAGATAATCTTAAATTTATTCTATATATTTTTCAGTTTAATTAAAATTTTAGCAGAATGCATAATTAATGTGAATGCTTGTCACAGTTTTCTCACAAGTGATGTGAGAAATGACAAGTAATGTTCAAAGATATCTGCAGTTTGCTGAATGCATAAATCAATTTTCTGTTGGAAATGTTTCACTGGTTTTAATAAAACATTTCATGGTATGTTTGTAGATACAAGCTGTTCAAATTCTTACAATCATAGCTTCTCTAATTGTTGGTTCCTGTTCACAGACAACTCTTAAAATATCCCCACAAATAAGTCAGATGAAGCCAAGTATAGTAATTGGACTTGGCTTCACCTGACTTATTTGTGGGGATAACACTGGACAACATGTACCAGTAATGACAGGCTGTCATTACTGGTAAATGTTGTCCAATTCACCTTCCATTACAGTGCCCATTCAAATACTACAATTTGTATGTAGTGGGGTCATCCTGTTTTGTCTAGTTTTTTAGCATTTATTTTTTTAGCAATTTTTTTCCTTTTTCAATTTACTTTTTAGCATTTTTCTATTACACAGATATACAGGTACTGTACGTGTTATGGTGGCAGCATAAAAGTTCAAATGTTCATAACATCCGATAAATGCATCTTTTGAAAAAAATGTTTTAGATAAAAGTTTGTTTGTTGTTGATGTAGAATCATAATATGTATTATATAGGGCTGGGCTATGTAAGTATCATAATGGATACCTACATAGCCCACCCCACATGCTTCCTTCTACTCATTAAACCTTTCCTTTGATTTTTAGGAGTTGGAAAACATTTCAGTTCCCATAAAATTGCTTATTTTAGGTTTGGAAACATATAAATAAAAGAACATTTGTAGATTAGATATTTTTTAAACAAAAAAAAAAAATTAAATAGAAAATCTGATCTTGACAGATACATGATTATTCAAAAAATTTCAAAATTTTTCATTTTTTAAATAGTCATATTTAAAAAATCTGTTGCTTTCTATTCAATTCTTATAAAACTTGTGAATGTCTTTACTGCTGATGCCTAAAAAAGCATTATATAGTCCATTGTTGACATCCAATATCTACAATAGGCATTATATCCAAAAGACTGTATTTTTTATACTTATGTTAGATTACATTTCTCATTCAATATTTTTACATACAGCATTCTGGCATACTATTACTAAAATATAATCTATTTTAAACTAGAATGATTTCTACCTACATTAGCTGCAAGCTAAAAATTATTATTGCACTACAATGCAGATTAATTGCAAATGATGACAGTTTTAGGTTACATTTCATTCACTTCAAGAGCCACAAATATGATTACTAGTATTTTGTTAATTAAGTTTGTATTCAGTACAAAGATATAATTTTTTTATTACACTTTATCAATTTATATTTAAACTGTACTCCATATACATATCAATATAATGTCTGAAATGAATCATTTTAACCAAAATATATACAGAAAAAGGCAGATGAAAACCCATTAGCAAAATCAATTTATATCTAGTTTCTAAATCTTTTCCATGGTTTAATATCTTGCAAATTCAAAAATTAATTGTATGGTGATCTTGTTGCTTAGAACTAAATCCTATTTTTCCCNTTATTCAATACATTGTTATCAATCAATCAATCTTTATTAGCAAAAAAGGAAAGTATCCCTATTGCAGGGAGAAATTACATATATCTAGAAGTACAAAACTTTTAAATTTATTCATTTGTAATATTATTATTCTATTGTTTGCAAATTATTTACTTTATTCAAAAATCTTTATTAAAATAAATGTGCTAAACACCTTACAACAAAACAAGAGTTCACAGATTCTCCTCAAACAGCCCCTTTAAATCTTATCCACATTATAGTTTTTTATTACACATTTCAAGTTTTTCATTTAGATTACCTTTGCAATACCATAATTTTAACAAAGTAGTTGTACAATTTATACATATCATTTTTCTCAAGCTTATTTATAATATTTCTAAAATCAAAATACATTGAAACATTTGCAACATGCAACATAAATTACACATGTCCATAAGTCCTTGACATTCCCACAGCAAATGAAACATTAAAAGTTCTTAGATTTACACCAATGATATTCACCACCTGAGAAGTTTATATATGCATTTCTGATATATAATGAGTATTTATTAAGTCACAGTTGAATTACTAGTCTTTTCATGTTGCTATTCAGTGATTTCATTATGTATGGTTGAAATGATGGTATGATTTAATATTTTCAAATACCAAAGGTGGTAATTACATTGACATATTGTTGATATAATTGATGCTTTATCTTATCTGATTATTTAATTTATATTCTTCACTTTAGAAGATAAGAAATAATTAAATTTATCTAATAAAATTAAAAGAAAGTCATATGCATGCATATGTGAATAACTATGAATTCATCAAAAAAAAAAAAAAGAACAATACTAAAATTATTACAAAACTATTATTATTTGGTGGAATCATTATTTTTCTTCATATAACAAATTGATATAAAAACTTGTGCCACAGCTCAAGATAATCTTAAATTTATTCTATATATTTTTCAGTTTAATTAAAATTTTAGCAGAATGCATAATTAATGTGAATGCTTGTCACAGTTTTCTCACAAGTGATGTGAGAAATGACAAGTAATGTTCAAAGATATCTGCAGTTTGCTGAATGCATAAATCAATTTTCTGTTGGAAATGTTTCACTGGTTTTAATAAAACATTTCATGGTATGTTTGTAGATACAAGCTGTTCAAATTCTTACAATCATAGCTTCTCTAATTGTTGGTTCCTGTTCACAGACAACTCTTAAAATATCCCCACAAATAAGTCAGATGAAGCCAAGTATAGTAATTGGACTTGGCTTCACCTGACTTATTTGTGGGGATAACACTGGACAACATGTACCAGTAATGACAGGCTGTCATTACTGGTAAATGTTGTCCAATTCACCTTCCATTACAGTGCCCATTCAAATACTACAATTTGTATGTAGTGGGGTCATCCTGTTTTGTCTAGTTTTTTAGCATTTATTTTTTTAGCAATTTTTTTCCTTTTTCAATTTACTTTTTAGCATTTTTCTATTACACAGATATACAGGTACTGTACGTGTTATGGTGGCAGCATAAAAGTTCAAATGTTCATAACATCCGATAAATGCATCTTTTGAAAAAAATGTTTTAGATAAAAGTTTGTTTGTTGTTGATGTAGAATCATAATATGTATTATATAGGGCTGGGCTATGTAAGTATCATAATGGATACCTACATAGCCCACCCCACATGCTTCCTTCTACTCATTAAACCTTTCCTTTGATTTTTAGGAGTTGGAAAACATTTCAGTTCCCATAAAATTGCTTATTTTAGGTTTGGAAACATATAAATAAAAGAACATTTGTAGATTAGATATTTTTTAAACAAAAAAAAAAAATTAAATAGAAAATCTGATCTTGACAGATACATGATTATTCAAAAAATTTCAAAATTTTTCATTTTTTAAATAGTCATATTTAAAAAATCTGTTGCTTTCTATTCAATTCTTATAAAACTTGTGAATGTCTTTACTGCTGATGCCTAAAAAAGCATTATATAGTCCATTGTTGACATCCAATATCTACAATAGGCATTATATCCAAAAGACTGTATTTTTTATACTTATGTTAGATTACATTTCTCATTCAATATTTTTACATACAGCATTCTGGCATACTATTACTAAAATATAATCTATTTTAAACTAGAATGATTTCTACCTACATTAGCTGCAAGCTAAAAATTATTATTGCACTACAATGCAGATTAATTGCAAATGATGACAGTTTTAGGTTACATTTCATTCACTTCAAGAGCCACAAATATGATTACTAGTATTTTGTTAATTAAGTTTGTATTCAGTACAAAGATATAATTTTTTTATTACACTTTATCAATTTATATTTAAACTGTACTCCATATACATATCAATATAATGTCTGAAATGAATCATTTTAACCAAAATATATACAGAAAAAGGCAGATGAAAACCCATTAGCAAAATCAATTTATATCTAGTTTCTAAATCTTTTCCATGGTTTAATATCTTGCAAATTCAAAAATTAATTGTATGGTGATCTTGTTGCTTAGAACTAAATCCTATTTTTCCCGTTATTGAATCCATTATTGTTGAATTCAATATTTTCCAATAATTTTTGTGAATTCTTGTGAATGTAGAAGGATTACCATATATTTAAATAGTCTAAAAACATACTCTGGGTCCTTGTAATCCAGGTGGTCCAGGTCTTCCAGTTTCTCCCTTTAATTATAAAAATTTATAATTTTAAAACTGTCATTTCTTAAGTTAAAAAATATATTCATTATTCTAAAATTTGAATATAATTATTTATTTTTACATATTAAGAACAAATTACCTGAGAACCTTTAGAACCTTGAGGACCATGAGGACCACGATCTCCTTGAGTACCCTTCATTCCAATAGGACCATCAGATCCAGGAAGACCTCGTGGACCAGGACTACCCTAATTCAAAAACTATAGTTAATACATGCATATATAATTTTTATATCATTTTAGATTTATCTATGTTCTACATAATATATAGGAATATTCAGTAAAGCATGAAAAAATCAATATATAATATGAAATAAATATTAATATTGAAACATTGGTGATTCTAATAAAATAATAAATTATTATTTATTTTTTATAAAATTTTTGCTATATAATATAACTATTCATTCAATTACTATAATTAATAGCATAATTTAGCAACTTTTGCATTTATATTGATTTTTTATAATAAACTAAAAATTAGAATTATGTAAAACTAAAATAGTAATTTAATTCATTTTATAGATCTGTAATTTTATAAATTAATTCTTTGTTAATATGAAAATTTTAAAAATTTTTAAAAAATAAAATTCTTAAATAAAGTTAAAAAAATTAATTTTAAAATTATAATTAAATTTACATTATCATCAGAAAAATATTATTTTTGCAAAATTAATCTCGATATGGTTTTATTTAATAAATCTTCAATATAATACAAATGTAATAACAAAAAGTACATCACACAAATAAGAAGTAACAATTGTCAAATACACAATTTAAATGAAACATTATATAAACTGTAAATTGATTTGCCTTTGATTTAATTTCATATATAATTTTTAAATATCACTTGTTCACTAATATCAAATATCCATTACAATCATATAGAAAAAATTAATATTAGTTTTCATACATTTACTAAATTAATTTTTGGCAACTTATATTACATTAATTTTTCATAAAATTCCATTATTATATCATTATTATATAATGGAATATAATGGAAATATAAATGATTTCCTTCATAAACAAATAATTTATAATCATTTGTTTATGAAGGAAAGCTAATGATAAATTAAAAAAAACATTACAAGGAAATATAAGAACAATTTTTCTCAGTAAACTTTTAATTTAGCAAATTTAGAATTAAAAATTTTTTCTTATTTAATTTCTTCATTACTTAATTTTATACATTGCTTTAATTTATACAAGAGACTTTTCAATTGAAAACTAAAATGCTTTTTAAATGGTAGGCCTAAATAGTAGAAAATGCAACTTTAAAGAGTATATAAAGTTTGAGAGCTGAATAAGGGTAATTAACCCCATATTAATTAATGTCAAAAAATACTGATGTGTTCCTAAAATTTTATTTTAATGAAAGTTATCAAAAGAATTCAGTACTAGAACTTTCAATAATAATTTCAAGTCAAACTTACTCTTTCGCCAGCTGAACCAGGAGGACCCGGTGGTCCAGGTGATCCCATTTTACCCTATATTACAAAAGAATTGATTGAAATAAATATTTTCAACATTAAAAAATGTTAAATCTAATTGCTAAATAATGATCTGACTGATTTTATTGAAAACAATTAGGATAGCTTACAGAAGAGATGAAAATAATTAAATACAAATTAAAATAAAGTAAAATATTACATAAATTACATACCAATAATATTAATAAAATAAAAATTAAATTATTATGAAATTTATTACATTAACAAGAAATTTATTAAATTCAAACAGAATAAACATTTGTAGCAATAAGTCAAGAAATAATGTGCATAGTCTTTGGTTCAGAATACAAAAAACATAATGACTTGTATTGAAAATTATTACTTTTACAATTATAATGATTACCTAACAGAATGATTACAAATCATTATATTTTTGTAATATTTATATTTCTGCAAGAATTTGATAAAACTATAAATTTTTGAGACAAAAAAAAATGGAGTAGCCCAAAAACGTTTGTGCAATGTATGTGTTACTGACACTAGTCAATAGGTTTATAGTGCAATTCATATAAATTTTTGTATGAACAATTTTCCATTCTTGTAGTATATAAAATTATAAATTAAAACAAGTAAAATGACAAAGCCATATTTGGGACAAGACTATGTCTTGAAGACTCACTACTAAGCGGAATCACTTTGACGCTCAAGTGGGTCTCGTTCTCATTCTCCAATCTTCTTTGGAATCGCTGCTTTTGAGTGCGATCATTCAAACTTCGCCAGCCACAACAAGGTCATCCACAATGCATTTTCGATGAAATTAACTTATCCAGGTATACCCTATCCAATGTCTAAATTTCTTTTCATTGCGTGACGGCAAGGGTTGAATTTTTATTGATGTGTAACAAAAATTTCCCGTTCTTGAAAAAAATAATCATGGCTATTGTATCGTCTGAAATTATTTTTTTATTTTGCACAAACAATATACAGTTTAACCCGATTATAACATTATTGGATGTAATGACAACCCTAATAAAAAGTCTTTAGTGGCATGGCTAAAATTTGTATGTGGCACATCCTACCTTGTCTGTGATGTCCACGTTGATCTTGACCATGTGTTCTGCCAGTAAAAATTAATTGAGAAACGATCCAGGCAAATAATTTACTTAATTTGTATCGGCAGAGTGATATTTACAACAGCATTGATATATAATATAAATCCAAGATCGGCACGGCTGTCGAATCAAAACGTAGTAGAAAAATGTCTCTCTTCATTAGAGTTTAGAAACAAAGTGAGGTTAAAGGGTCACGTGCAGGCGTCCTCAATCCTAAGGTCAGAGTTCACTTCTTAGAATGACTGCGGGTGGTATTCTCCCCTACCTGACTTCAATGGGGTGAGGTGACTGTTTTGCCTGTTTGTAGAAGAGGGTCGCCATTTTGGATTTTATTTTGACTCAATTCTCGGTCCCCTGACTACCTATGAGTCTGGATTTTTTTATGCGCAAATTATTTGGGCACCTAATATTCTGTGCCAAATATCAACTCTCTACATGTACTTCTTCATACCTCTATGCTGATAAGAACATGAGGCAGTACAATTTTATAAACAAGACATAGTCTTGTCAATAAGCTTATATATAAGGCAAAAATATTATATTATTAAATACTTGTAGAATAGATAATGTTAAGAGGTATTGTTATTAAATAGAAGTAGACACTGGGAAATTAATTATTGAATAATTTTGCTATAATATCAATTAAAATATCAAAATATTATAATTATAAATCAATAGTACTTAGAAATTCTTAATAATTATATAAATATTAAAATTTTAATTATAATATTTAAATGATAATTTTAATTATTTACTCTTTTTCCTGCTGATCCAGGAGTTCCTGGCAATCCTCTTGGTCCTGCAGTACCTTGTTCACCTTTTATTCCAGTTTCACCTTTTGCACCTGAATCTCCTCTTATTCCCTAGAAAAATGCATTTAAATCATACTGTTAAAGATTTTTAAAAATTTTGTCATATTCTATATTTTATAATAGAAAAACAAACTTATCATAAATCTTAATAAATCTGTTAAATGTAAGTAAAATTTAACATTAAGTAAATTTCTTACTTTATAGTACTTTAAAGACTTACTTAGTTACTGCAAAAATTTGACTATATTAAACATTAAATTTAGTTTATTCATTTATTTAAGGAAAGAAAAAGTTGATAATAAAATGATTTTGTCGTTTTAATCTATAAAAATTCAATACTAATAGGAAACAAAATTAGTGCAATTAAAATTAAAATTTTCAATTATTTATTTAAATAGTGAACAATGTTTCAGTGATAAAATAGTTTGTTGACATGACAGATGACCAAGTAAAGACCCATAGAAGAATTTAATTCAATTAAGGAAATTTGAATGTGCAATATTTTAGGAACCAATGATTAAAATTGATGTCTGATTTTTTTTTAATCCAGTGTTGAGATTATGATCTTTGCACAAAAAGATATAAAAATTTAGTGTAATCAGCTTGTTAATTTAACAACATAGAAGCTTTAAATCACCATAACGTTTCCAAGTGTGTTCTTCATATTTAATTTTGAATAAAGTACTGAAAGATTTCATAATTCTTTAAGATACAAAAATCCCAATTTTTTTTGTCTTTTAACATATGTAAATTCAGCAACTTCTTCAAACAACCTTGTCATGATAGGCACTATGTACTGAATATCAGAAATATGTGAGAGCTGAATCCTATATTGGAACGGTATTATATATATACATATATTAGGGGATATGGATCCAATTTACCAGAGCCACAATAAGAGTCTAGAAGAGCCACAGTTTGTATAACATATTGAGTTTTGTTAATACATAAATGTTTGTTTTAGATAAATTATTTCAAATTGACATAAATTTTACAAATTATAACAATTTTTGAGACAAAAAAAAATGGAGTAGCCCAAAAACGTTTGTGCAATGTATGTGTTACTGACACTAGTCAATAGGTTTATAGTGCAATTCATATAAATTTTTGTATGAACAATTTTCCATTCTTGTAGTATATAAAATTATAAATTAAAACAAGTAAAATGACAAAGCCATATTTGGGACAAGACTATGTCTTGAAGACTCACTACTAAGCGGAATCACTTTGACGCTCAAGTGGGTCTCGTTCTCATTCTCCAATCTTCTTTGGAATCGCTGCTTTTGAGTGCGATCATTCAAACTTCGCCAGCCACAACAAGGTCATCCACAATGCATTTTCGATGAAATTAACTTATCCAGGTATACCCTATCCAATGTCTAAATTTCTTTTCATTGCGTGACGGCAAGGGTTGAATTTTTATTGATGTGTAACAAAAATTTCCCGTTCTTGAAAAAAATAATCATGGCTATTGTATCGTCTGAAATTATTTTTTTATTTTGCACAAACAATATACAGTTTAACCCGATTATAACATTATTGGATGTAATGACAACCCTAATAAAAAGTCTTTAGTGGCATGGCTAAAATTTGTATGTGGCACATCCTACCTTGTCTGTGATGTCCACGTTGATCTTGACCATGTGTTCTGCCAGTAAAAATTAATTGAGAAACGATCCAGGCAAATAATTTACTTAATTTGTATCGGCAGAGTGATATTTACAACAGCATTGATATATAATATAAATCCAAGATCGGCACGGCTGTCGAATCAAAACGTAGTAGAAAAATGTCTCTCTTCATTAGAGTTTAGAAACAAAGTGAGGTTAAAGGGTCACGTGCAGGCGTCCTCAATCCTAAGGTCAGAGTTCACTTCTTAGAATGACTGCGGGTGGTATTCTCCCCTACCTGACTTCAATGGGGTGAGGTGACTGTTTTGCCTGTTTGTAGAAGAGGGTCGCCATTTTGGATTTTATTTTGACTCAATTCTCGGTCCCCTGACTACCTATGAGTCTGGATTTTTTTATGCGCAAATTATTTGGGCACCTAATATTCTGTGCCAAATATCAACTCTCTACATGTACTTCTTCATACCTCTATGCTGATAAGAACATGAGGCAGTACAATTTTATAAACAAGACATAGTCTTGTCAATAAGCTTATATATAAGGCAAAAATATTATATTATTAAATACTTGTAGAATAGATAATGTTAAGAGGTATTGTTATTAAATAGAAGTAGACACTGGGAAATTAATTATTGAATAATTTTGCTATAATATCAATTAAAATATCAAAATATTATAATTATAAATCAATAGTACTTAGAAATTCTTAATAATTATATAAATATTAAAATTTTAATTATAATATTTAAATGATAATTTTAATTATTTACTCTTTTTCCTGCTGATCCAGGAGTTCCTGGCAATCCTCTTGGTCCTGCAGTACCTTGTTCACCTTTTATTCCAGTTTCACCTTTTGCACCTGAATCTCCTCTTATTCCCTAGAAAAATGCATTTAAATCATACTGTTAAAGATTTTTAAAAATTTTGTCATATTCTATATTTTATAATAGAAAAACAAACTTATCATAAATCTTAATAAATCTGTTAAATGTAAGTAAAATTTAACATTAAGTAAATTTCTTACTTTATAGTACTTTAAAGACTTACTTAGTTACTGCAAAAATTTGACTATATTAAACATTAAATTTAGTTTATTCATTTATTTAAGGAAAGAAAAAGTTGATAATAAAATGATTTTGTCGTTTTAATCTATAAAAATTCAATACTAATAGGAAACAAAATTAGTGCAATTAAAATTAAAATTTTCAATTATTTATTTAAATAGTGAACAATGTTTCAGTGATAAAATAGTTTGTTGACATGACAGATGACCAAGTAAAGACCCATAGAAGAATTTAATTCAATTAAGGAAATTTGAATGTGCAATATTTTAGGAACCAATGATTAAAATTGATGTCTGATTTTTTTTTAATCCAGTGTTGAGATTATGATCTTTGCACAAAAAGATATAAAAATTTAGTGTAATCAGCTTGTTAATTTAACAACATAGAAGCTTTAAATCACCATAACGTTTCCAAGTGTGTTCTTCATATTTAATTTTGAATAAAGTACTGAAAGATTTCATAATTCTTTAAGATACAAAAATCCCAATTTTTTTTGTCTTTTAACATATGTAAATTCAGCAACTTCTTCAAACAACCTTGTCATGATAGGCACTATGTACTGAATATCAGAAATATGTGAGAGCTGAATCCTATATTGGAACAGTATTATATATATACATATATTAGGGGATATGGATCCAATTTACCAGAGCCACAATAAGAGTCTAGAAGAGCCACAGTTTGTATAACATATTGAGTTTTGTTAATACATAAATGTTTGTTTTAGATAAATTATTTCAAATTGACATAAATTTTACAAATTATAACATCTTACAAAATCATATGCAATTTTCATATTCTTTTGTTTAAAATATTACAGTTCATTAATATGTACTGTACATTTATTAAATTCAAACTCTTTCTTAAATTTTAAAATTTTGATGTAAATTTTTAAGTCTTAATTATTATTATTTAATATTTAACTCAATTTATTGAAGTTTTTATAATATTAAAAGTTTTTAATTAACTTAAACAGCATATTTAGAAAATTATTTAGGTTCTATTTAGATTATCTTAGA